TTGATTATTTGTAATATTTGTATTATTTATAGTGATAATACACAAAGCTTATTCTTCCATCAATTTTATTAATTCTCCTGTGTTAATCTTTTCAAGGTAATCGGCTTAACCGGACAATTGCAATAAAGTACAATATCATTAAGTCGTCAATTGACACATAATTTATTATATATTGGTTCATCAATATTTTGCATAATCGTTTCAATATTTCAGAGTCAAAACCAATGTTTTAACAAAGTTTCAACAAAGAGTGTAATTTTGCATTCAGAGTATTTGATATACTTTTTATTGCATCTTAAGAAGTGTTACGTTTAAGATTATTGAACGCACTTTCAGGAGGACATATCAGACCTCTCAACGGTCCATAAATCGGACTTCTGGGATACACAATTATCAGGGCTCAATACAACATCTTAATTCCACTGCCGGCTCTGTGATTGGTCCTCAGTTGTCTGATCAACTAAATTAAATTCATTGAAACCCCACCAGGGGGCAACTTTTTGTTGTACTCACACCTATATGGAATAGCCAAATTGCATTACATAAAGGTGTGAGGCGATTTTAGTGATGGAATGATCAATTAATGTAAAGAGTATATTTTGAAGTAATAAGTAAGTAAAGAACGTTTATTTTTTCTTTACAGTCGTCACAGCCTTTAGTAAAAGTATACTCATTTGAACAAGGAATTATAAATAATGGGACGTTGACTTAAGTTATCACATCATTGATTGTCAGGGGCTAGCATGTAGAAAAACTTGTGTCTCATTCATTGATGAGGTAGGGACAAAAGAAAAAAACGTTTACACACATTAATAATTTGCTTCCGAATAACAATTAAATAGTAGATATTGGTTTTCGGTTATGTCCTATTCAGCCCGAGTTTCATTTCGCCCGTAGCCTAATTAGTCCCAGTTCGCCCACGGTCCCAGATTAACCCTTATAATCCTCAGCTCTACCTGTGTCAGGAGTCTCATTCCATCCACGGAGGCGATGTACCGCCACCCCCACAAGTATGACCTCCATCACCTTCCACCTCCGACTACACGGCTATTGGAGCATATATTTGTTGTTAAAATATTTGTTTGACAAACCAAGCGAATTTCCTTTATAGTATTAATGTAAAGTTGAAACACAAAGATCTCAGCATTAAAATATAAAGTGGCATGTGTCCTTATTGATTAGTTAAGTTAATCTTAAATAAACTAAACAGAGTACAGTAATACCACAAAGATCTCAGCATTAAAATATAAAGTGGCATGTGTCCTTATTGATTAGTTAAGTTAATCTTAAATAAACTAAACAGAGTACAGTAATACCATTGACTATTAACAAATAATCACACCTGAGGTAATAAATTGAAATAGTCAAAGATTCTAGTTACATCTTAGAGTTGTTTGAAAACTTGTTAGAAACTAATTTTAAATATCTCACGTCGTCAAGGATCACCCGATCACCTACATTATTTCTGCTCTAAGTTTTAACTGATATCTTCTAATGAATGCTAAAAAGCCTGCTTCAATTCAAGTTAACATGTTGCAACAAAGTTTTTACATCATTGAGAATTAAAGAAAAATGTTGCTTTACTGAGATAACCTGTGTGGGAAGTATTTTAAGTTGGGTAATTTCTTTATTTATTTCTTTGATTTGATACATCCCCTAAACCATCAAAATTTCTCCGTAGGGAATCCTGTAATGTGGGGTGATGTAAACCATTTCATGTGGTCCAAGTTTGGACCTGAACCGGTCACAAGTAAAGTCAAGGGTCTTCAGGAGGTACCGCTGCCACCACTACTCTAATTAAGGGAGAGTAGGCCCTAATGAAAATGGGAAGAAAAATAATTTATAAATAAATAACCTTTTTAAAACAAAACATTTTTAAACTCACTAAAAAGTAGAAAATAATTTATAAATATGCGGAGAGTATAAATACTTGTAAGATTTAAAACGACAAACGTGGGGTGCATGCAATAGATAATTTACAATTACCTTCACCTTTTGAACTAATGCATCATTATCAATTGCATTCACCCCACGTTTTTCGTTTTAAATCTTACAAGTATTTATACTCTCCACATATTTATAAATTGTTTTCTACTTTTTAGTGAGTTTAAAAACGTTTTGTTTTAAAAAGGTTTTTTATTTATAAATTATTTTCTACTTTTTAGTTTTTAATGTGTGTGGATGACAAATATATTTCAAGCATCTATATCAGATTAAGACAGAGGCATGTGGGAAATCTTAGGTTTATTTGAATTTCTTTTCATATAATTATGTATTAGATTGAAAGTATGGCCTACTAACTATAAATATATCAATCTATTTAATTTACTGTTTACTTTATCTATATAAATAAAATTAGAGTTTTGTCTGTACATTGCTCAGAATCATAAACTTTTAGGTTATTTTTATGTTTTATACATTAGAGAAACCGAAACAAGTCTCTTCTAAATTTCTGTCTGTCTTCCTGTCTGTTACGACCCAAGAGCCATTTTACGCGGCCTACTCCTGAAAAACGAGAGTACCTATCAAGTTCCAAATCATTTTAATGTATTCACTGGATTGGCGAGATTGTCTTTAGCCATTATGGCGTCACTCCATTGTAAATAAAATGACGGACGTTTAAAAACACAATTTTGTGCGATTTTTTGTAAAGTTTTCTCCCAATGTTTAGCACATATTCTTCTATGAAATAACGAACAGCTGTTCAAATCAAGATTATTTTTCTTCTAGCTGTCACTGATATGTATACATTGAATGTTGTTTACAAATACCGCAACCATTTCCGATCACGTTTTGAAAGCAAATCCAAACCAATTAAGATTAAAAACGTTTTTCCTTACATAACAGATTTAATTAATCGCAAGTACAATAATGTAGGGTAACAGTAAATGAAAATAGAGATTCTTTGTGTATAAAATTGTTCTTGAGTTTTGATAACCGGGAAATAGACCTTGAATCAGTGTTGTACATTGCTGGGAAACTTACATTTTTTAAATGAGCGTTTTCAGTCGAGACTCGGCACACGACCGACGCGTGTCTACTTGTCCATAGTAAAAATAAAAGTACGCCTACCGTGTACTTATGTTTTATTCGTTATGTATATAAGTGTACAGTTCCTGTACGTGTTTCAAAAACTCCAAGACGCACCTAATGGGGAAGCTCAAGACCTTATATTAGGACTGATGATGGCGATTTAATTTTGCCGAAATGCATCTCTTGTAATAGGATACATTAGGATCGACCGGCGGACACAGGGAATTTAACCTTTTATTGATTGTCATACCGACCCGGAACAACAACAAACATCATAAAATGAAGTTATGTATAATAAATAGTTTGGCCAGCATATCTGAAAATATGCAAACCAATTGCTGTTCTTTATATAAGAAGGTTTCAACTGATTACTATAAGATCCCCGTGCGTAGAACGGGTACATAGCTAGTAGAATACTAAATAAATAACAATCCTTATATATAATACGTGAAGGCGATTTCTACAAAACACTACTCCTCCGTTAATAATGGATGGATTTTTACAAACGACGTGTCAAAATTAAGTATTTTTTGTGTAGACGCATCTTTCACCAATTCCTGTAATAAAAATCCTCGGGCTTTGCCCCACAGGCCATTAAAGTTGGAGTTTCTCCCATAAGATTAACATGGGGGAATCTAAATATTTAATTGGAAACTTTGTCCCCACTAATTTGAGAGAACGGCTGTGCGTAGAAACTTGGTAGAGGTGTCCAAAGAAAGGTCTTGGTCTGTAGATGAGTTATCAAAAGAAAAACTAAGCAAAATCCCATAGGACTCTGTCCCAGAAGCCTTTAAAGATCCCTCCACAGAGTTGTTTACATTTTGGCCATGTGAATAATACCATAGACTAAGCAACACAAGTAGATTCCTCATCCCATTGTAAATTTTGAAGCTTGTTTTTTGCGTCTAGTTCATGTACGTCCACACTGATCGCTAGTGTAGACAACATTTTGTTTCTATTATTTTAGGGTTATTTTCATTATTTGTGCTTTACTATTTGGTTATATAACTAGGAGACCACTTATTGTTTATGATTATATCGTTTTATTAGGTTAAACGAGGTTTTAAATTACTGAAATAACAAGAAACAAATTGTAAACAAAACATAACCTCTACAGTTGGACGTACAGAACTAACAATAAAATTGGCTTCAGCTGTTCCATTAGGATGACTAACCTACTGAGGGAGTATGTTTTATCTATGATAAAGCGTTGAACGACAATAGAATGTTAACACGCAACGACAGGTTTATCGGTTAAGTAAGTCGTAGTATCAATAGTCAATGGTTGGGAACCACTGCACCAGCTGACCGTAGTCGTAGTATCTAAGAAATAGATTATGATTGTGATTGTATCCACAACATCACCAGTGAAGAGGCAACCAAAAACAGAATGTTTATGACTGATCCAATCTGGAAACCGAAAAGTCAATTCTTGTTTTTAACCGTCATTCATAAATAAAACGCTACAAATGATAAATTATTTCATTTAAGTCAAGATAAGTTTTCGAATCCTTTCAAGACGATTGCTGAAAACTATTGTATTCTGGAATCTTGCCGATCGAATGTCGAAACCAAAACTTTCCCAAAGTTTTGAAGGTTTTGAGATTTGGTTTTGACACACCACTAGCAGAAAGACAACATTTCTTGATACACAAAAAAAAAAATTATTTTAAATCAAAATTTCGTTTAAAATACAAAGAATATTCATTAAATAAACCAAAATTTTATAACCCAAAATGTGTAAAAAATTTTTAAAAATTAGACCTACTCCTGCTCTCCAAGTCCCCTTCAATAACAGATCTCATCAAACAACGCCCAGCTCTAACTCACTGACTACCACAGCAACCCTCTGTAGGCTATATCAGGGCAAAAAGTTGTTGTTTTCCCTCACATTATCAAACTTCTTTGTGGTACATTATATAAATTTCTTGTGAATAATACCTTAACCTATATACCATTGTATTTAGGTTAAAGAGGTGTTCCGACCAAGCAGCTCCTCTGCTGAAGCTCCAGTGCTGAAGATAGCTGAAAGAGTGAGGCTGAGAAAGATGGACAGACATGTCACTGGCTCCGACCTAACGTCCTTGGGGGTTGGTACCACATTCTATTCTAATTACGAAGCAGAGAACATTTCTGTTATCTTCCAATTACATTAGTAAGCCAGCTATACTCTTGACAAATTATCAATCACTAGTGGCCTGTAGGGGCCATAGCCCCTAATTTAGACTACAATAAAAAACCATATATAAAAAGACAAATATTCGAAATATTTTTTTAAAATTATCAATTTTATGTTAGCCTACTTAAAATTAACAGCGTTTCTTGTTTTATATTTTGGTTTTCCTTCCATTGGAGTTGTATATTAGTTGCTTCTGATGTGCCATTGAAATACAATTGTAAAATAATTATTAAATCAATAACACAACATATTAACAAATGGAAACGTGCACACGGTTTGGCCTGAGCCCGGAGAACGAGGAATCAGAGCTGAAATCATACAGCCAAACGTTGCACATCCTTTATAGTTTAAAATTGAAGATTTGTTTTGTAATCTTACGAATTCTGTTATAGTTCCCATTTTGAGAACTATTACTATGAAGGCATTTTGCGGTAGTAAGTCAGAAATATATCTATGCATTTGTCCCTGAATTTTAAGACAGCAAGGCCCATTTCCCGGAATCTCTTTTTGTGTAGCAGAAAGCGACGCAAAAGCCATTGCACTGTTGTTTTGCCTTTTGTTTTTTTATGAAGTTTGAACCATGTAAAAACAGTTCTTTTAGTTCGTCATTTACTTGTGGTTGTAGCATGTCCATTGTGGCAACATGCGTTGAAATGTCCATTTGTGGCCTCCTCTGCGAAGTGAAATGCGCCACAATGCATGCTAGTGCTTTAAGAGGACCTAGATTGTGAGAAACAACACTCAACTAATTTTCCAGCGTTCTTCTAAAGACATGTTGTAAAACAGCTTCTGGACTTCTTTCACAGCTAGGCCCTACATGACGTTCTCTTTTGCATTTCTTAAGTCTGTTGAATTCCTGGACACTCTTCCACATCTTGCAGGTCTTCCCCTAGCTTGTCTAGTTACTCTTCACTCATTATATAAACGGAAAACAAAAAAATTAAACACAATTCATTTTGAAACATTATTTACCAACATTGACTTTGACTTTCGGATTAAACGTAAACATTGCAAATAAATAAGCAACAGCTGATAGAATGCAGACGTTTTTCAGTCCCCATGCATTTCTTATGGTGGATATTTTACGTTATACCTCGTTTTTTGGTAATTTTTTGGGAATTCTGCTATTTTTCCCGAGTCCCTGGGGTCAAAACCTTTAATTTAAGACCCCTCCCACCTTTCTGCGACTTACCAGACGTCCACAATTTTCTGGTAAAAATTTTGTCTTACAGAATTATATATAAGGATTGTGATGGGTATTCATGGTAGTTGTAAGGTACACTTGTTATTTTTTATTTGTTGATCAATAATATACTCTGTTAATAAAATTTTAAATATCATATGAAATTTCAAACATCAATCCACAGTCAAGCGTCAATTGGGCATCGTATTGTGTCCTCACATAAATCGTCGAGTCATCAGTCTATGTCTACACAGTGAAGTTATATCCGCCATTGCTACACGATTTGCAGACAAACTTATTGCGTTCAAGGTTAAGTTGTTACCTGCAATGGCGGCAATAGTTGCTCGCACTGATGAATGAACTAGACCTACAACCGAAAGTAACTGAATGAGAGAATTGAGAGATGTTGGCCGCCATATGTACTAGGAGAATAGTACTTTGGAACAAGGGATTGTGGGATTGTGATAAAGCCAAGAGCCATTGAGCTGGCTAATTCTTCTAGTTGGTACCAACATCACAAAATTTTACATCTTCACGATTTTCTAGCAGAGTTGCCATGCCAGTGCTACCTCCAGTTGTATATTTCTAGATTAGTGGATGCTCGCTATGACAACAGCCATGATGATTTCAGAACTGATGATTTCAGTATACAACTATTTCGTTTTGTAAAAAGCAAGAGCAGTTCCTTGATTCCGTTTACTTATCAGACTTGGATGCGATAAATAACTGAGAGGGCCTGATAATTTAGGGCCAACATGAACTACGCTGGTTGTCTGATTCAAAATTTAAACAGATTCGAACAACATAACATTGAACTTGGTAACTTCCAGCTTAAAAATATGAGTCAACTGCTCAGCACATTGTCACTATTCACAGTTTGTTAACTAAACTAATTAAATTGGTATTCATAACTTTTTATCTGTAGATGTTGTCTATGTTTTTAATAGAGATGTTTTTATTAATTTTATTTTATAATTTTTATTGAGACGGACACAGCACACACTATTTTAGAGCCGGCGGCGAGTCGGCGCCATTAAGGCATATTCCGTTGGTGGACCCAAGATTAGATTCTCAAATCTCATTTATCGAATCTTAAATCCGAAACTTTTCTTAGGATTCGGTGGAATCAAGATTCGGATTTAACACATAGTTCTATTATAAATATAAATTTAAGATTATTTGACGGTTTACGCCATACAGTGTACAAAACTGATTGGTTTGGTTGCAGGTGAGTCACACAGAAGTGGCTGAACAGCTGGTGTCAGAGCTCCAGTCTTGTGACCTCCAGGAGTGGGACCGTCATCAGCTGGAGCAGGAGACTAAGCGACTGTCTGCTAGGTTGGAACACTCCCGCTCCCAGGCCAACGTCTTACAGCTCACCTTGGACGAGGCCAAGAGCCATTGTGAGAGGTACGTAACCACTGTATCTAGTTTTTCTTCCCCTCTTGAATTGTAAGTTCATACTGTTCTGTAACAGTAAATGTTTAGAAATACTTAGAAATGTTTAGGGCTATCCAGAAAGTAGCAGGAGTTTTTAAAAAAACTTACCCTTACTCTTACTTACTCCTGTGGCCTTTGAAAACCTAGGGGGTCTTTGGCCTCGCCAACCATATGCCTCCAGAGTCCTCTGTCTTCTGCCAGCTCCAGGTTTACTCCCATACTCTTTAGGTCCTTTGTTACCTCATCAATCCATCGCATCCTTGGTCTTCCCAATGGTCTCTTGCCCTCCGGAGTACCTCATCACTTTCTTACCATCTCTCTCTCACCTCCGTTGAATGTGGCCCAGCCACCTCAACCTTCTACTGTTTTGTAAAGAAAAAATGAAAAAGCCGATACCAATATATTTAAATAAATATTTAAATATATATTCTACTTGCAAATATTCTCAAATGACTCAACTGATGGTTCTTTACAAATCTTGGTTGCCCCTGGGTTGGAAGAACAAAGTGAATAAAAATATTACAACAGAGCGTTGGCAGTGAAAGCTAGATGTTAAATAAAAATTGAGTGGGCCCTGTGGAACAAAATCATCCCCAGAAGTCCTTAGGGGACGTTCCTGATACTGTTTAGTTCTTCCAAAGCTGAAAATAATCTTAAAACTACACTGACTCTACCTTGCACACTACCACACTAAATTTAGTGTTGCACCCAAGGTGTATCTTTTGTAGTGGCTTCTTATTGAATGTAATTACTAAATACCCTTTTGAATGAATATATTCATGCCAAAATTGAAATACTGAAGGTTAATTAGAATCAGCAGATAAATAACCATTTGATATATTTAAAAATAATTTCTGTAAAGTATAACACAATCCGAATAGCACAAGGTGATGTAGTTACTTATTACCTCAGTATACTTGCCATTAAGTTTTTCTATATAAAATGTATACAACCCCTCGGTGGAAGAAGTGATTGGCGCGGTTACAATATAGCCGCGACAGTGACAGTAAGGTGTGAAATTTATTTAATGTTTGAGATGATCCAACACTCACAAATCCTTCTCGTTGGCCAACGACTATAAAATTGAAGTGTATGTCTCGTCGTCCAATTTGTTACACAGTATAACTGTACGTAACTCAATGGTATGGTATGAAAGATTATTTATTATTAATGGCTTAAGAGTGTTATGTAAAGGGGAGAGCATATTAAATGTGGAATTGACTCTAAAACTCATGAATATCAAATTAAATTTAGACAGAATAGAAAACTAGTGTTTTAATTGAATCAAGGAAAAACACAAAGGCAATAATCAAATATAAAAACATAAACATATATGACTTAAATAAAAATAATAGTCACATGCTAGCTTATATACAGATCATGAGTGAAAGTCCAACACTCCCCCTCACGAATGATCTTGGTGAAGTTATTTATGTCCAATTTGTGTCACATGTCTTTCAAAATTAGTTTTTCCAAGAGCTTTGGTAAGAACATCAGCCGTCATTGATTCTGTAGGAAGATACTTCAGTTCAATAGACCCTTCTTCAATTTTTTCTCGAATAAAGTGTAATCTAATGTCTCTATGTTTTGATTTTGCACTGACGACAGGATTTGAGGCTATGTGTTGCGCTGTTTGATTGTCATTGTAAATTGTTATCTTCTCATGAGAATCTGCCATATCATGAATTAATCTTCTTAAGTGAAGTGCTTCTTTAGTAGCTTCTGTGATAAAGTAAAATTCTGCTTCAGCAGTTGAAAGAGATGTACTATTCCGTTTTTGAGATGCTTAACTAACACTTCCATTTGCATACATGAAACAATATCCTGTGAATGATTTTCTGTTTGTTTACGAAGATCCCCAGTCAGCATCAGCAAGTCCTGCAAGTGGTTTGTTTGATTTTCCAAATACCAGTGACTTATCTTTTGTTCCTTTAAGGTATTTTAGAACACGCTTTGCATCTTTCCAGTGCTCTTCAGAATGGCTATTGTTAAATTGACTCAAATAACTGACGCTATATGCTATGTCGGGTCTCGTTGCAACTGCTAAAAACATCAGACTTTGATAAGGTTTGTTGACTATTTCATTTAGTGTCGGTTCATTTAATTTCACTTTAGGATCCATGGGAGTTCCAATTGGTTTACAATCAGTCATATAACACTTCTTTAAGACATCATCAATGTATTTTGATTGATTTGCTATCAGTTTTTGTTCTTTTTGTTCAAATTTTATTCCTAAGCAATGGTTCAACTTACCTAGATCTCGCATTTCAAATGACTTCATCAGTTTGTTTATTAATTTTTGAAATAATTCTTCATTCTTAGATGCAATGATCAGGTCATCAACGTATACTGCTATTATTTCATATTTTGATTCAGATACATAAATACATGGATCAGCAAGTGAAGCCTTGAAACCCAAGTCTTTTAATTTAGCATCCAGTTTGAAAAACCATTGTCTTCCAGCTTGTTTAAGACCATATAGTGCCTTGTTGAGATGACACATTTGTTGATCTTCTGAAATTTTGTTTAAATCAGTTAACATTTTCTTTGCTTGCAGTTTTACATCGTTGTTTTCTTTGTTATCATCTATTATTTCTTTGAGGTAGCTCTTCAAATTTGGTGCTACTTTCATGTAAATATTTTCTTTTATATCGCCATTTAGGAAAGCAGTAGGTACATCCAATTGATTCAATGTCATATCTCTCTCCACTGCAATACCAAGCAGTAAACATACTGAACTCAATTTTACTACAGGAGCAAATGTTTCTTCGTAATCAATATGAGGTCGTTGAGAAAATCCTCGTGCTAAGAGACGAGCCTTTTTTCTTTCTAATGAGCCATCTGCATTGAACTTTTCTTTCACGACTAGTTTGCAATCTACAACATTTATATCTTTCTTTTTGTTAGTTATGTCCTAAGTTTTATTTTTCAGGTGAGATATTATCTCTTCTTTAATAGCTTCATGCCAATATGAGGGATCATTTTTTGTTTCAGAGCTATCATCATCTGGATTTTCAAGATCAGAATAATATGATGCATAATCATCAAGCCATTTGGGAGGATTTGTGTCACGATGAGGAAGGGAAGTCGCAGATGTAGATACATTAGTGCTCGGATCATCTTTGTGATTCTCATTGTAGCTCTCAATTGTATCTTCATTTGTCTCATTATGAATATCTTCGTTTGAATGATCATGTTGGTGTATAGCTTCATTCTCAATTGTGTCTTCATCACTTTCAGGTATCTCATTTTGGACATCTCCGTTTGAAAGATCATCTTGGTGTAGAGCTTCTTGGTGCTTTTCATTTGTTTTCTTGAAACTCACTGTTTTGTATTCAAGTTTTTGTAGGGAAACTTTTGTGTTCTCTGCTGAGTCATCGTTTTCTTCTTGATTTATTAAATCATAATCAAAATGTACATTTGAATTAAGAAATTGCCGAAGAATTTTGACATCTCGACTTTCAATTACATTTCGGAAATCAGGAACCCATATTCTGTATGCTTTGGAGATCTCTGATTATCCAACGAAAATTCCCTGTATAGCTTGAGGAGCAAATTTACTTTTAGTTTGTTTCTTGTTCAGAACAAGGGCTATGCTTCCAAATACATGAAGATGATTTACAGATGGTATTCTTCCAACCCACATTTCAAAAGGTGTTTTGTGATCGATTGCTCTTGATGGACATCGATTCCGCAAGTAGTTTGCTGTGTTCAATGCTTCAGCCCAGAACATTGGAGCAAGTTTCGACTCTGTCATGAGACATCTTGAAGTAGTGTCCTGTTAAGTCTTTCGGCAAGACCGTTTTGCTCTGGTGTATAAGGAGCTGAAAGTCATCTTTGAATGCCATTGTCTTGTAGATATTTCTTAAATGCGTCGCTACAGTATTCACCACCATTGTCCGTTTGTAGAAACTTAATCTTCTTGTCTTTGAAGTTTTCCATTTCATTTTTGTATATTTTGAAATATTTTAGAGCTTCATTCTTGTGTTTGAGGAAATAAACTTTACTATAAAAGGATTTCTCGCCAGTAAAAGTTACAAAGTATTTAGAACCACCTGGCGATGTGACTTTCATTGGTCCACAAACATCAGAGTGTACTATTTCCAAATAATCTAATTCCTTTAAATCATTTCGTACTGGGAAAGGCAATTTTGTCATTTTCGACTGAATACATATACTACTTCACAATCACCGAGTTTTTAATTTGGATTGAAGTCAAGTCCCTTAATTGTTCCATTATTAAGAGCATGTTTTAAATCACTTTCATTTATGTGTCCAACTTTTAAATGCCATTCATTAATTTTACAGCTGTTTGCAACAAGATTGGCATTTTCAAAATCATCAAATTCAACATAGTAAAGACTACGGTATTTATTTTGGTTGCTTGCAAATACTCTTCATTTTTTGAGTTTCCAATTACAGCTTTATTTTCATCAAAGGTTACACTACATGCTTTTTCAGTGATTTTGTTTACAGATAGAAGGTTTGTTGTTAGATCTGGCACATGCAGTGTGTCTAGGATGTTAACAACTGAACCATCCTTAGTAAGTTTTACAAGTCCCTTACATTCGATTGATGTAGTTTGATTTTTTGATGCAAGTTTGAGTGTGTGATTACGAGAAGTTTTTGAAAGTTCAACAAAGTCTTCCCTATTTTTACACATATGAGAAGTACTACCAGAGTCAAGACACCAAATGTTGTCTTTGGGTTTACATTCTCCGGATAAAAGACAAAGTTCTTCTGTTTTAAAAGATTTGTATTGTATTTAGTTTTTGACTAACATTGTTCTGTTAAATGATTATTTCTCCCACATTTTTTACAGAAAACCTTTGAATTTTGATTAAAGTTTTTGTGCTTGCTGTTAAAACTTTTAGAGAAAAATGCACCGTCAGTGCTTTGTTTTTCAACTCTTTTAATTTTTAGGTGATCAGGTTTAGTAAGAGTATCTCGTGACTCTATTGCTACTCGAA